TTTCCCTAGACCTTACTGGATACTCCTCTTTTCGAACGAAACTTTCTTACAGTGTCTAGTTGCACAAGCAGAAGGGAATGCGAAGCCGAGGCTGCGACGTCGTCGGCTCCAAGCCCGCTCAACTAGACACTGTTGGCGTCGTATGGTCCCCTCTTTCGACGCGAACGGACCCGCAGCGCGCTATATAGACCTGGAGATCATGCATAAGTGACATATCCGATGGAATGCTCAGGTTGCGCACTTCGACCTCTAAACTTTTGAAGCGAATGTAGATATGTCGAAATTACTACACCACATTCTTAATATCGCTGGAACAACTGCTGGTCATATCACGCTCAACCCTCTAGTCACGGCCGCTCTACTCTGGGTATTGACGAAAGGACCTACACAACTTCGCAGCCAACTTACAACTCGGATCCGCGCACTTCGGGACCCGTTTCGCTATGCACAGCTCGTGAAGGCTTTGAAGTGGTGCCTGATAGCTGGAACAGCAAGAGTCGTCAACAAGCAGCTTAATCATGTTGCCCTGAACGCAGGCAGATTGCGAAGTGAAAAGGCGAGATGGAACTGGAGCCGGGAGGTCGCAGTCATCACAGGAGGCTGCAGTGGTATTGGAGAGCTGGTAGTGAAGAGGTTGATCAACAAGGGAATCAGAGTGGCAGTGCTAGACATTCAGCAATTGCCTCCAAGTTTGCAAGGATGTAAGACACATGAATACTCACTACGCTGAGCTGCCTGGTACTAACGAAGACGACAGACGCCGGCCTCAAGTTCTTCAAGTGTGACATCACCGACTCCTCTGAAGTCTACTCAGTCGCCGAGAAGGTCAAAGAAACGATGGGGGCACCTACCATCCTCATCAATAATGCAGGGCTTCTGGCATCCCACACCATCCTCACTACGTCCGACGCGTACCTCCGAAAGATCTTCGATGTAAACGTCCTCAGCAACTGGTACACCACCAAAGCTTTCCTGCCAGACATGCTCCGACACAACAAGGGCCATATCGTGACGATCGCAAGCACGGCAAGCTTCATCGGTGTCGCTGGCCTGGCAGATTATACAGCGACGAAGGCGGCTATTCTAAGCTTCCACGAAAGTATGTTCCTTGTCCCATCTCTTAGCTGCAGTATGCTGACCCAAGTTAGCGCTCACCCAGGAACTCAAGCACCACTACAACAGCCCAAACGTTCTCACGACTTCCATACACCCTAATTGGGTCCGTACACCTTTGATAGAACCTGTGGAGCAGGAACTCAAGAGGCGAGGTTCTCCCATTCTTGAGCCGACTGCTGTTGCCGATGCAATTGTCGGACAAATCATGAGCTGCAGCGGTGGCCAGATCATCTTACCAAGCGCTGCGGGCAAGGTCAGCATGCTGAGGGGATTGCCGAATTGGGTACAGGAGAGTATCAGAAGCGGCGTGAGCAAGACCATCCACAATACCGTGAAATAAGTTTAATGGAATTCTGTGTGCGAGATTTCGAAACTTTAGCGTGTTGTGCTAGGAAGTACCACACCCATCACGCACTGCATGCGGCCCCCGGGAAGAAATGTGCTGGCCTCGGCGGCACTCATGCAGCGAAACGCTTTGTGTGGTGGTACGAACATGGCTTGCCGGTGCGAACCAACCCTTTACAGTAGGTTTGGGGAGAAAGCGTAGAAAACTGCATGCACTGTGCCGTGCCCTACGCATGAGGTGTGTGTGGGCTTTGCCGTGGTGCAGGTGTGCCGGTGCCATTCACATCGCTAGCGTAGGTATCGGTGAGTCGCGTCGGAAGCGCCGAGGAACGCGTCGCGTCTCACTCAATCGACCACTTTACTACAACGACACACAACATCGCCCATACCATCTCAGCCGCTAAAAGAAACGACGGAAAACATGGCAGAACCACAAGAAGATGTTCAGATGGACACCCAAGACATTGAGCTGGAAACACCACCTTCGGATGTCTTCATGGCACCTTCAATATCCAAATCAGGCATTCTTGGCGGGAAGTCATATTCGCACTTCTCGCCCATACCCAAACAGATTGCAGACGACATGTCTGGAGAAGTCGTGCTAGGTGTCGATGAGGCTGGACGAGGTCCTGTTTTAGGTACTAGTCCCCTGTGGAAGTCTTCTTCGTCGCTAACACATGCAGGCCCGATGGTGTACGCCCTCTTTTACCTACCGATTGAACTCCACCATTCCCTTCTTGCCGAAACGCACCACTTTGACGATTCCAAAGTCCTTACTCCCGAAGTCCGCTCGAATCTGATGCGCAAATTGTGCACCCAAGGCTCAGATCTCTACGAAGCTGGCGGATGGGCAACACGTGTAATGTCTGCGCAAGATATCTCAGCGCACATGCTGTCCCCGAATGTGTACAATCTCAATGCGCAAGCCATGGATGCGACAATCGACCTGATCAAGGGAGTGCTGGCACAAGGCGTCAATGTCAAGGAGATCTACATCGACACAATTGGCAGACCAGAAATCTATCAGAAGAAGCTAGAGAGGATTTGGCCTACGATACGGATCACAGTCGCGAAGAAGGCCGACAGCCTATACCCCGTGGTCAGTGCAGCATCGGTATGCGCCAAAGTCACCCGAGACGCAGCCCTAGATGTCTGTTACGAACCCTACCAGAAGCGCAACACAGCGGCGAACGAAGATGCCGAAGTCAAGGTGGCTTGGGGCTCTGGGTATCCATCGGACGCGCGGACAACCACCTGGCTGAAGCAGAATATGGATCCTTTCTTTGGTTGGGGTAGCGAGACGCGCTTTTCGTGGGGAACTGCGAAAGAGCTGCTGGAAGGGAAGAAAGCAGATGTCGCTATCGACTGGCCTGCCGAAGATGACGGCAACGACATGCGCATGACGGACTTCTTCAGCGGCAAGAATGAAGGCGGCGGAGACGAATTGGTCGACTGGTTCGGGAAGCGTGTTACGCAGGAGATGGACGTATTTTGAACGCTTCATTACAGAGACTGACACCACGAGAACCGCTGAGAGAACAAAACATGCAGGGCACAATGATCGGGCGCATTTATCGGTCCGTTCCAGACCCGCACAGGGCGTCAATATTGCAAGCAGGGTCTACCAACCGGTCAGCCCTACAGAAGCAACGTCATGCCCCGACCATGGGTTTGACTCGGTTGACGTACCCGCCCGCGAGTAAATATACCATCCAGGCAACACAGGCAACCTTTGAAGGCTTCATCTTCCCCATGAACCGGATAAAAGACATGATAAATCATACTAAAGCCATTTTAACGAAAAAGGTCGGCTGCTCAGTCGAACAAGTTTTGGTTTTTCGGTATTCAAAGTTTGGAGTGCGTGCGTGTCGGTAATTGACTGTACCAACGGTTGTACATACAGTGCACCAACCATGGGCGAAAGCCCGCGCTTCACAACAACAACCGTGCTCCAACCATGTCATTATATAGAAAACTCGAGTCACCGCCTCTGCACCGCCTTCTTGGACTCCCTGTACTTGTCAGCCCCAAACGCATACTTTACACCAGACACTGAAGACGTAATATCTTTGGCGCAATCACTCGACGCTTTGTCTACCTAATCTTATCAGGCGCAACCTATCTTTACAACAGAAAATACTACAGTTCTCAAAATGCACAACGGCGACCTCGTTTATCAGACCCTTTCCCGAGAACTTAGCGGGTCCAGGCCGAATGGACGGAGAGGAGGAATAGCGAAGCGCGGAGAAGGTAGCCCATCCATAACACCTACCCGCCACGAGCAAGACACCGAAGCCTCGTACTTCCAGGGCGCGACGTTCACCAAAGAAGATGAAGAACCCAATCTCGACGCATATCCTCCCTCGCCACCGCTATCGCCCAAAACGACAGTACCACCAAAAGCGCCAACGAGACACCTCGCGGAACGCAAACGTGGCCATGTGCGTCATCGCACATCGTTGAAGCGCAGATCGAGCTGGAATCCGAATCTCAAGCAAGAGTTCCTACGACGGGCTTCGATCGACTCTATAATCGCGCCGTTCAAAGACACGATATGGCTTGACTCAGACCGTGGGGTCACATCTGTGCGAAGGAGGAGCAGCGCGATGACTACCGGCGCCAGATCAATATCACCTCGTAGTCATGGAGACAGACGCAAGCCGCGGAAGCAGTCGACACTGCTGCACCCATCGTCGCCGGATGTCAAACCTGTGGCTGATATCACTCCTGTCCATGCTGCCCCCGTGTTCAGAGGGACACATGGGTGGGATGCGTCAGTCGACTTTCCGACTCTTCGACCTGCTATGCCGGCCAGGAAAGGCTCATCGCTTTTACATCCATCGCGCCCTTCGATCGACACTCTTGAACATAGGGAGCTGAAGACTGTCTTCTCTTTGCCGCCGAACCGTCTATGGGAAGATAACCGTCGCCGCTGAAACCCTCGTTCACTGGAGCTTCAGCTTTTTGAACCAGCAGCTGCCACGCTTTTCATGATGTCGTCCCTGTCATGTGAACGTCAGTTGAACGAAGTTGCGGTGGTAATCCGGTCAATGTACCTAGGTACAAAGTCACTACTAGTGCCACACCAACGTTCATCCGGCTTAGTGTTCCCCGCATTCATTCAACGTTTATGCTTCAGTCGCCACTGCCGTTTATAAGTCGGCTGGTGTTTTGTTCTCATTCCACAAAACTTGCATCGCACTACATCCGCTCCCAACGATAGTGTATCACCAAAGGGCGAGACCATGACACCACGAAACACAAACTTACCTTCGCGCCGCGACTTTCTCAGGGACAACCTCGTCGTCCACGACAAATGCGCTATCTGTACAGAGCCATTCGATACGGAACATCAAGCAGCATCCATCAAGACAACGAATTGCCAACACACATTTGGAATAGAATGTCTGACCCGGTGGATAGAATCCGACCGGGACAACCACAACACCTGTCCCATCTGCAGAGAACAACTATTCTCTAAAATCGACAAGCCCGAATTTGTCGAAGGAGCACGAGACATAGTAGGCCCACATTACACAATGGCCCACCAGATCCAGACCTGGCACCCGGCCAAGACATTCGTCAAGAACATGTGGCGTGCCATGTACAGGCTCTACGAACGAGATCAGGTCATTTACGACTCTGACATTGAAGAGCATATCAACGCTAGGATGGTTCCTGGTTTCTATATATTCAGTGACCATTGGCCTGGAATCAGGGAACAAGCTCAGAGGATGGTGCAAGAACACTATAGGAATGGAAGCTATGTTCCGCTCATAGGAATGCAGCTTAGGTTTTACTTGTACAACGTCGAGAGCGTGTTGGAATGGCAGATTGGAGACGAAGAATCGGAACATGAGGTGTCAGGTGATGAACCATCAGATGATGAGGCGTCAGATGTTGAAGATGACGACGATGATATGTCGATGGCGGATTCGACGGAGTAAAATGTCTAGGAAGCTTTCGGTCAGCTCTGTCACCTGCTTTGCGCGCTCTGTACCAAAGTCGAGCGCTCTTTCTTATTTGCGAGTCGGAGACGCCCGATAACTGTAGTCGTACATGCGGCGTTACCATTTCCATTCTTTTCTGTATCAAAGCCTCACGATAGTGTACCGTACGGTTCCCGCCGCTTCTTAGCAATTTGGCACTGCGCAAAGCCATCTGCGCGCTCTTACCGCATTGGGCCAATTTCACACTCACCACGAAACCCATACCGCGGCTTCACCGCTAGTGACGTTCTGTTGCCAAGATATTCGGGATACAAACAACGCCTGCCTTTTGCCAACCTGACTACTTACACCTTCCGGATCCGCCAGCACCAAGACCATGGGCACGCCATTGAAGGATCGCGAGACTTTCCTCAGTCAGGGCATCGAGAACAATATGACGTGCTTCATCTGCGACCGTTTCCTCACAGGTGAAGACCGCACACGACCTTCTTACTGCTTTCGGATCGCTGATGAGTTTTTCACAGACCAAGATACAACCAGCCGCATACTCACCACCTTGCACAACTGTCATGGAGTCTACTGCGGGCCGTGTCTCGTTGAACACTTGAAATACAACAATACTTGTCCGGTCCACACGCATGTGATCCTCTTCGAGCTCCCTCGCCGGCCTGAGTTCGTATCTGGAGAGCGCAGTGTCCCCGATACCATCGACGGGATCACAGACGAAATCGAAGCTGAAAAATTCGTCAGCAAGTTAGTCTCCGCCACCAAACAACTTTACGACTACGAGCAGATTTTCGACTCCGACATCAAAGAGAAGATCAAAGAAGTTCTAGATGTCATCGCCGAATGCTTCAATCACAAGGATGGCTTGATAATCAAGGACGAGCATATGGCTGGTGTCATGGACGTCGCTAGAGAAATTGTCAAGATGCACTTCAAGAATCGGGAGTCGGCTTCTGGATTCTGGGATGAACCATTGGATGTCTGGGTACAGAGACTTGGCGCGGCAGTAGGATGGAAATATCCGATCGTACATTATAACAACTGGTAGTACATACTCTACTATCGGACATCAGCTGTCTTCGACACCGGAAACAGCGAGCGAGGATGACACAATGATGCGTTGAAGAGAAGCTGGTTATGCGGTTGAGCTACTGTCTACCGATCCTTGAATGGCTGTCGCAGATAGGCTATACGATCGAGCTTTCAATCGTAGCTTCCAAGTGTATACAGAAGACAGGCATGAAAGTTCTAGTCTCATCTCAACTTCCCAGTCAAACTGTGATAGCATAGTACCAATGTATTGTCGATAAGAACTCCCGATAACCTAAACTTCTACTGCCATTTTTATCAGCGTGCTCAAAATCCACATCAATCACCCAAATCTAACAGTCTCTTCTCAAGCGCCCGTCTTACTTGCGCCTCGAGTTCGCCTCAAACACCTTCCACTCCTCGACCGACTCCAGTAATCTCTCCTTGCTCCAACCTCTTTCCAATCCCAATTTGTATGCGGCGCATGCGCTTTGGTAGATGTTGAGATCGTCGATCTTCAGAAGCTCACTGGATGCCGAGCGCTTGACTTCCTGCTTCAACTGGTAATTGGCAGTTGCCATGGGGAGCTGCATGGCGGTTGACATCGCCTCGGCGATGCTTTCCCCAAAACCTTTCGCGTGGCCGATATTGGAGTCAGTTGGTGTTTTGGCTGATATGAGCTCGCCGTCATCTTTGGCTTTGTTGCTGACTGCTCTTAGTGGATTTGTGAAGCCCAAGTCTTGCAGCGTCTGACAAGGTTAGTCGCTGAAATCGTGCAAGTGTGCAGTTGGACGTCGCTTACTTGGTTTTTTTCTTTCGCTGTTGCTGGTTCGCGGTATGGGAGGCTCTTGTTGGGATTCATGGTGGTTCGGTGCAGTTCTTGAGCGATTGCCTGTGGTTGCGGTACTGGCTCAGGCGGGTAATCGTATGGCTTGATGATATAGGGAACGAAAAGTGGCTGCCCGCGATTACTGGGATTATCTGAGACATCCCAGTTGATCACCGAGTGATTGCAAGAGCGGTGTACCCAGGTCTCTCTTACCTTCTTCACCAATCCAAGGATCGCTCTGTGAACAGCGCAGTCTAGGAATGATTGAAATTCCATACACTCCGAACAAAGGCAACACGTCGACATCGTCTGCAACTGCAGTAGTAGCGCGAATCACTTGTCGTTGGGTGATGTTGTGCGCAGTGAGGTTTAAGATAGTGACTTCGCAAAGAGTGGCTGGTGCATTTTGTAGAAGTATACCACGATGTACCGAGATGTCATGAATAAGTCGATAGTAACCTTCGCAGTGAGTAACCAGAACCTACTTCATATCTCTAGAGTTCGCGATGAGACATGCGAGGTCGTGAAGCAGAACATGTAAGACAGTCGAAAGATAACTTATTTGCAGCGGAGTCGTTACGCAGCAAAATCATAAGCTTAGACATGAATCATGACTCCCGCGTACATTCTACTTTCTTGGTTCAAGGGTCGTAGTGTTGGTGTTCCGCGAATCCTCAAGAATATTCCATCTTCCCCAACTCGACCACCATCGTCTCCCACCACCACCACAACAACACCGCGACGACGTCTAGAACAGCAAAAAGAATGCATCGGCCGGGAATCGAACCCGGGGCTAGCCGAAACTGTCCTGTGAAGGATGGCAACGGCTAATTTTACCACTAAACCACCGATGCGAAAAGATGGATGCTAAGACAGCTGGAGCTGTGAATGTGACCTAACCAGGGGTCGCAGCGGGGTTGTCAGCTTTGCGATTCGAATAGGAGGCTTCTGAGAGCTACTTACAACCTGGAATCTCTTGATATCGAACGGAGTCGTAGTCAAGCGCCTTGCCATTGGGCCATTAGGCCAGTTGTTGCTTAGTAATGATGGAAGGTTGTCGTTTGTAATCGTATATAATGACATCCAGCAACCAATAACGAGGATTGAAGTTTGCTGATATGCAAGAGGTGGTTTGGTGGGGCAGTGTCGCGGCAAACTTTTCTCTAGTGAGGGGATTCGATGGTGGGGCATGTCGACCGACCCTGTTAGGAACACCATTTTCATTACCTGAGCACATCTGCAACTGTCTCTACCTGCGTGGTTTAGTTAGCATGTACAGATTTGGCAACATGCTTCGGATACCTTTTATGTTCCTCGATGAACCCCGTGTCAGTCCAATTGTTAGAGCTGGTACCTACGACTACGCCGGAATCGACCGAGCTTCAGACTCTGATCCAGCAAGGCGAAGTATCTTCGACGTGGGCCATAAAAGATTCCAAAACATTCCCATGGTATGGTAACCATTCTGTTTAGTCCCATGAACAAACTCTGGGCATCTCTTCGCCCTCTCGTCGGCATGCCAATCGAATGAGAGGCTTATCGTGAGGAATCCAACGCGGAGGTAGCGAGGTGTCGTAGTATCAATTTTCGCTTCATGTCTGCAGTTCTTCCAGGGTTCTCACCATTCTTCAAGAACGTTCGCGTTTACGACGCTTCATTCATACTTTTGAGGAAATGCGTGAAGCGGCGCGTCGAGATCCAAACTCTTACCGACATTTCACGTCTCCAAAGTAAATTTATCTAACCTCTCAGACATCGTGCGAGCGAGATGCGACCGTGCCGATTCTGTAAGGCGGGGAGAGCGACTAGTTGAATCCTATCGATGGCACCGGGCACTATTCGAATCAAGCTGCCCGCGTCGTGCAGCTCGCACTGGCTTTCGATAGCAGGAGCGCGTTTAGGTCTCTGCGGAAGGCATGTGCACTCAGTGCTTTTCGCTGTCGTAAGGTACCTAAAAGGCTATCCATTTGGGGCAAGAAGAGCGGTCGTATCCATGTTGTGATATCTGAATATCCAACAGCTCCAAGGGCTTGGTATGTAGTGGAATTGAGCTTCTCAGTCGCGCGCGTTACCCGGTGAGGTAGATTTGTATGCGACTCCAGTCACACCGAATCCACAAAATCGACGTCATTAAACCCCATACTCTAGCACTGCCACCACCACGATAACAGGTTCAAGCGCTTTCTGTCTCTTATCCGCAGGTCTTCAGGGCAGCTGCGCCAAGCCGGCAGTCATCCGGCGCGGCGTGTTGCTTGCCTTATTCTTCAACCACGGATCTCTGCCTGTTCGCTTCTAGTGTAAGATAAACAATGAACATGGGGTACAGCGCAGTAGTCGCTACCGGGTATACTGCTTCCAATCAACCTAGTCCTAACCACTTCAGGCGGGCAACTGAGACTCTTGTGCAGTATAGCCAACTACTCCGGAGTACATCATGGCTAACATGCCCTCTATATAGTATGGTCACGTTGCTTACTTTGATACGTTCTTTTCCGCGGCTACGACCTCTTGCCAAATACGATGGCTGCTTCAAACTTCCTACTCGCCTGTTTATTCATGGCAATCACTGTCTTACAGTCCTGCTTCGCCCAGCTCAACAATGACACACCATGGTGTCCTATTACAACGCCTACGTACAACTCCTCTGGTCAGACCGGGTTTCAGATTACATCCGAGGAAGACTGGTATATATCACTCGCCGTGAATGACCGCCGAGGGTTCAGTTACAGTTCCACTACTGCTTATATCAGCCATCCAGAGTTGACAAGCGTAACTATGGGTTGCTTCCATCGGTTCAAAGCCATCAATGCTTCAGCGACGGGAACAGGCGAGAACGGTTGCGAAGGTGTGCTGAGTGCTGAGTGCATGGATGCATTGCACGAAATCTCTTTTCCACCTGTGACTTCTGGGGTCTCCATGGACGACATGGAATGTGAGGACATCGACAGCGATCGGATTAGAGATGCTTGTCCCAGCGAAATACTGGCCCCATTGATTGTGAGGAGTGAGTGTTTGCATCTTGCCTTCTGATAGCGCTGATTGCTAATGAATCAACGCAGCCCCGGTTCTCGGCTTCTCGAACGAGACCTGTGATGATAGACCGCCACCAGGAGAACTTGTTCCTGAGCGATAC